CACACACACACACACACACACACACACACACGGGTGAATGCCCCAAAGTCCCTCCAACGTGCCGAAAGATGGATGGTACCGGCATCTCGAAAATTTGTCCGCTGGCTTTTAATGGCCATCCGGTAGGGGCATCCCACAAATTACTGACCGGTACCGGTAGGGGCGTCACGAAAAGATTTGAGGCCCAAACGACACCGGGGTCTGTTCGAAAATCTCAACCCTGCTCAGAGGGGCGCCACAGGGTAAGCCGGCCGTCGGAGGGGCGCAATGCGAATTATCACAAAATACAGGGGCGCCAGACAAATTTTCCCTTTTCTTTTTCGTTTTCGGTTTCGCTTTTGAATTTTTTGCTTTTTCTTTTCTGCTGTAGTCTTGCTTTTCTGCAGCCCTTTTTTTTTTTTTTTTTTTTTTTTTTTTTTTTTGGGAAAAAGTAAGGAATCCATTATCATGAAACACATGAGGCCGGGAATTCCTCACAAACAACCCGGAAACTGAACTGTCACAGGCTGGGACCATTACCCAGTATCGGTAAGTGGGGGTAACCCCAACAACACTTGGCTGAGCCACATGTTAAGCCTACGCATAAAAAAAAAGGGGGGGCCAGAGGTCTTTCGACATGCTGGGCCAAAACCGTAAACAAAAGGTGCAGAATCTTCTACAAACACGACCTATTCTAGCCTATAATATTCTAATAACCCTGCCTAAATCGGCACGGTGTACCCAAGGTCAGCCTACTTCTGGGCCCTCTCGAACCTCATATGTCCCACTTGCCGCCTACTGCGGATATTACAACCGACGGGCCGCGCTTCTGTCTTTTCGGGTCCGACTTTCTCGTTTTCGGTTTCGTTTTTCAATTTTTTTTCTTTTTTGTTATGTTTTTCCCGTTGGCCCGTCGTTTCTTTTTTTTTTTTTTTTTTCACATAAAGACCGGTTCAGGGAGCATTACCCAGTTTCGCTTTGTAGTGGACCAATTCTGCCTACCTATCCTATTAACAACATGATTAACTTCAAGCGAGGGAATTAACAATGGAGCCCTGAACAATGCCAAGGCAGTTGTCCTGGGCCCACTGAGCAACAGCTACCACTCCCCCGAAATTTATACCATCAAGCCACCAACTGGAGAAAGCAAGACAATACAGCGCCATATAACGTACTCCAGCTGAACGCTCCCAGCTCCAACTCCATCAAAGCAAAGACACTCCGGAGCAAACAGTCCATCTAAAGACAGACAATCCAACAAAAGACCACCAAACCAACATACCAGATAGATTGTATACTAACAAACAACCAGCAAACGGCAAACAGACCGACCAACAGCCAACCAAGAAGCATAACATCCAATCTCCCTCGGTAGTCAGTCGCAGCAGTCTGAAGGTATACCTAATCCCTACTATCCCTCAGCCCCTAGCTTCTAAACCCTCCCACAACCACGACGGAAGAGAGCCTGTGTCGGCCCTCCCGAGGCTACCTCGCCTCAGTTCTATCAAGCTGCCACTCCCAGTCTCAGTATTAAACTGCCGACTCTACTGGCCTCCTGCGGCCCAATCCCCACCGAGATAGCCAGGTGGATGTCTCTAATCCTATCCAATCTACTGCTGGCTTGCCAGGTCCTAAAACCTGGGGAGATCAGAAGTCCTGAACCTCATCAGACTCCACTCTGGATTCCAAACTCCTAGTCTACTGCATTGAAGTTCTCCTACGTCTGAAGCCATGGTGCCAACACCAGCTTCCCTTCCAGAGTCACCGCTGCCAGCTTATTGCCTCTCGCCCATGTGAAAAGAAACCACCTCCTTCCTCGTGACAGATCGCCCCTGTCTGCCTTTCGAACCCAGTCTGCAAGAATCATAGTTTGAATTATCCTTCTGATCTTGCGTTTGCAGGTAGCGTCCGACATCCATTCCCCTCTGAAAAGGATGCTGTTGCGATCCTCCCAGATCACCCACATGATAGCTGCACGAATAGCCTGAGCCATATATCCCCAGCCAGATCTGCTGAAGAACAGTGGGGGGAGCTGCCCTGTCAAGACCCAGATGTCGTCCCACAACATGGCGGTATTCAGCTGCTGCCAATGCATTATCCACCAGTTCCATATTCGTCTTGATGCTGGGCAGTCCCAAATGAGGTGACGTAATGTCTCCTCCTGTCTGTGACCACATCTTCCACACGTTCTATCTACAGGCATGCCTCTATCCTGCAGCCAAGTCGCTGTTGGGATTGCAGAGTGCGTCAGCAGCCAAAGCAGTCCAGAGAACTTCAGGCTGGGCAAAACTTGGAGCTGAGACCACAGTTTACTCACCTCTCTCTCCGAGGGGGGGGTGGGGAGTTGAAGTTGTTGTGCCAGCCTCGTACGGACTTCCGTTACTAGATCTTGTGGGGGTGCAGTTAGGATTCTCCTTCCCACGCTTGATGTGTACTGGGCCAGACACTTGTGGTTATCTTGGCCCAGGGCCCAGGTAATATTCCCTGGGTCTAGTCTGAGCTCCGTGATCGCTGCTCCCCCTTGGACCAAGATTGGATTGTTTTGGCTCCCCTCCTCCACACTCCTTCTATTCTGAATCACTCTTATTGTTGTAAGAGGAATCCCTGGGCCAACCACTATCTCCTGTAGGCGCTCCCGTCGGTTCTCCTGAGAGATGGTGGGTTTGAGTCTCCACTGCGTTGCCCTCCAGTCATCGTCATCTAATTGCTCCTCCACTCTGATATACTCCCCCAGCTGATCACTTTTATACCACTGCCCTTCTTTCCTCATCTCCTTCCTCTTCAATAATTCTGACCATTCTGTCGGAATTGCTTCCCTCAGTTGTCTCACTCTTTCCTCCACTCTCTGTGCTCTTCCTAGTTTCCTCTTGACCTCCCTTTCCTCCTTCCATTCCAACTTATCCTCGTCCCATAGGTCCCGTACCTGTGACACCCCCTTCTCTATCCACTGTCTCCCAAAGCACCCTGCTTTGGCCTTCGCCGAGAATGACGTCCCGTCCAGCCGTTTGATAGCCTCGTTCTCAAAGAGAGGTTGAATGAGTACCTCCTCTCTGATGCCCGGTACCTTGGACTGAGTAGGTCTCAGCTTCTTCCAGGCGATCCACCACGCCAAGCCCACCACCGATTTGGGACGCCGCTGCAGGAAGGAGGGGACTTGGAGTTAAACCCAGACATCCTCGGGTCTACGCAGGCGGAACTCCTGCTGCAAAATGTACATCATTAATACCAACCAGCTTCACTGCTCTGCCTGCATGGCCACTTTATGTATCCATTTACCGATCAAGGCTATGTTCTGTCTCTCTGGGTCCACCAACCCCAAACCCCCTTGAGTCTTGGCTTGGGTTACCTTACTCCAGGCCACCTTATAAATGAACCGACTCTGCTCTTCTACATCGGGCTTCCACAGGTAGCGGGCGGCCTCTGATCTTATCCTCACTAGCATGGCCCTGGAGATCAGAACTACCGCTGCCACGTACCACAGGAGCGAAAAGACCGATGCTGCAATCAGTGTGGCTCTACCCATCAATGAGATTCCCTTGGCCTCGCGGCACCTCTGCAGTCGAGCTTCCACCCTTCCTAAAAGGATACTATCTTGGTTTGGGCGACTGTTCGAAAGCGACACCTGCACTCCCAGATAACGCTCAGCGTCAAGTTCCCCTATCCTCTTCATCGTCCAGTCTCAGATCATACTCGCGGGGCAAAAAGTAAACTGACTTATCCCAGTTTACTTTTGCCTCCGAGAGTGCTGAGTATTGGTCTATAATCTCCTTGGCTGCATCCATCGAGTCCGGGGTCGCTTCAGACATAAGGAGCAGGTCGTCAACGATTGCCCCCACTGCCACTTCCACTCCCTCTTGCAGTTGCAGCCCTCGCATGCGGGGGGCTGCTCGGATAGCGCTCAAGAGGACCTCCATCTGCACCACAAAAAGCAGCGGAGCAAGGGGGAAGCCCTGTCTCAGCGATCTTGACAGATCAAAGGTCTGTGATCTTCTCCCGTTTACCAGAACCGTCGCCGTTGAAGAGCAGTACAGGGCCGTGACCCACCGTCTGAAGAGTTCCCCAAATCCCATGTGTTCGAGGGTGGCCAATACAAACGACCAATTCACGCGGTCGTAGGCCTTTTCCAAGTCCAGCATTGCCACTATCACTTGCCGCCTCTCCTTGCCAACCACTTCCAACGCCCCCATAGCGACCAAGATATTCTCCGCAATAGACCTTCCTTTTACGAATGCTCCCTGATCCGCTCCAACCAGGCCCGGTAGGATCCGCGCAAGACGCCTCGCTAGTACCTTCGCCAAAATCTTATATGAGACGTTTAGGAGGGAGATCGGTCTCCAGTTTCGGATGTTGCTCTTATCACCCTTTTTGTACAACAGGGTGATAACCCCTCTGCACATATCCTCCGTGAGAGACCCCCCTTCCAGCACCCTGTTATACAATCTCAGTAGGAGAGGGCCTATCTGGTCCCATGTTGCCGCGTAGAACTCCACCGGCATGCCGTCATCTCCCGGAGACTTTCCCTTTGCCATGTTCTTAACCGCCTCCCCCAATTCTTCTAGTGTCACGGTCCAAACTTAGCCTTTGGTGTGTGACCAAAGACTTATCTGTGTGTTGCCACAGATCTGCCTCCTCTTTCATACTTTGGAGGGACTCCCCTGGCTGTCTCCGTGATGTCAGAATGTCTTGGTAGTACAGTGTGGCGTATTCCGCCATTGTTTCTGTGTCTTCTGCCGCGTCCGCACAGGCGTTGAATGGATGCTGTAGAGTCCGAATAACACTGTGTGACCGGTATGGACACAATCTTCTGAATGTCTCTTTTGACATCCTGTCCATCTGCGACATTCCCCTCTCCCGAGCTCGTCTCGCCCACACTTCTTGCTGCTTGATCTGGATGGCCTCCCATTTGGCCATCCATGTGTCTTTTCTGCATTCCCAATACAGGTCTGAGTAGGGGTCCCGTCCAAGCTGTTCCTCTGCTTCTTTGACCATCCAACGACACTCCAGTTCCTCCTCCCTTCTATCCTTAGCCAGGATACGTGAGAAAGCATCCAACGCTTTGGTAACTATTTTGAACCCCGTTTGCAGTGTGTCAAACCAATTTTTGGCCTTGTCCCAGTCCTCCCAATGTTGTTTGCACCAAGCAAGAACCTCCTTGTTTTTCAGATTCTCTGTATTCAATCTGAAAACCCCTTTTTCTCTTTGGAGATTGAGTCCAAGCTGAAACAGAACTTTGACTGGGTAGTGGTCCGACAAAGGTTCAGGTTCCACAACTGCGCCGGTCACCGCTTCCCAGGCTTCGCCTCTCGTCAAAACCAGGTCCAGTCATCTCCTTGGCGGTTCTCTGACCTCGTTCCTTTGTGCTGAGATCCACTTGAAGCCCGGCTCATCCGGGTTGACCTGCCTAAACGAGTCCGTGAGTCCCTGTGCTTCGATGAACTGCTCTAACAGCACAGCGTCCAACTTTCTAATAGTAGCCTGCGGGGAGTCCAGACCAGGTTTCAGTACGGAGTTGAAGTCCCCCGCCATCACCATGTTTGCTGCCTCTGGCGTGAAGTTTGGCAGGTCCCTGAAGAAGGACTGTCTTTCCCCAGGTGTGGACGGGGCATAGACTGACATGAGTATCCACTCCTGGCCTCCCAGCCTGATTCTAACCCACACCCACTGGCCCCATATGTCAAACTCACTATCTAGCACTTTTGCATCCAGCTTCCGGTGTAGTAGGATTGTTGTGCCCCCTCGGGTCCCGTCTGCTGGCGCCCACCACTGCGGACCTTTCCACCATCTAGAAAAGCAGGCGATTTTAGCCTCATCCATTTTAGTCTCCTGCAGAAAGACCACCTGCACTCGATTTTGGTGGATCCACGTCTTCAACCTGGCTTTCTTCTGGCGGTCTGAGGAATCCCCCAACCCGCACACGTTCCAAGTGACCATAGCCACCTTATCCGTTCGAGGTGGTAGGTGCAGCGGGCGCAACAGGCGCTTGGATCTGTTGTTCCTCCCCAATGGACTTGCGACTTCCCTTCCTTCTTCGTGTGCTTGAATCCCCCAACCCCCACGGTGTGCTTAGCAGGCTGCGAAAATGTGGTGACCACGGCTTCTTGTCCCCTGATAGACTTACAGAATTCGGGTATCAGTTGTGCCTTCACGCTGCCCACGAGATGGATCTTTGCAGCCTCGTCTGATGTGTCTGCATCAAACCATTGGGGAGGTAGCCAGTGGATGCCCTGAGCCTCCAAAGTATTTGCACAGTCTTGTGTGATCTTAATGTCAACGAATGCCAAGTGAATCTGCAAACTCGTTTCCTCGCCAATATCAACTGTTTTTCTGCCCACCCTTATGCCTGGAATCAGTCTGAAAGGAAAGCGACCAGCTGCAAACTTTACTACTGCTCCTCGTATGGCGTCCTTTGTTCCAGGGAAACTGTCCACATGGACAGCTGGAAGTGCGAATTCACCGCTACGCGCCTTACCAGCCAGGATCTTGATTCCCTGTGGGGCTAGGGACGCGCAGAGGAGCACCACGTAGTGGTGACCTTGCCCTTGGGCTGCCTGCTTCGCTCCTCCTCCCTTGGCCCCCTCCTGCTGAGCTGACGATTTCTGCAGTGGTGGTGAGAGAATATTGAAGTAGTCCACTTCCCCTTCCCCATCCTCTGCTTCTTTTGTCGGCTCACTGGTGCCCTGCTCTCCTACTCTCCTAGTCTTCACTGGGGCGAATAGGGATGTCCTATTCCTTGGATCTCTCATGATCTGGTCACGCTGCTGAACTTCCACCGTGCTGGCTTCATTCATGTTCCTCTCCCCACCGCAGTTTTGAATGCAGTTCTCTCCCGTTATACCCCTTGCTTGTCTTGCCTCCCCTTCCTCGCCTTTATTTTCATAATCAAACTCCGAGTTGATGTGTACGGTCACAAAGGACTGGTCAGGTCCTTGACCCCCGCCCGTAGTCCTCCTCTGCATATCCGTCCTTCTTCCATCTACTCCCGAGTCTGCTCCTCGGAGTTGTTCCCACGGGTTTAATGCTCTCCCTGCCCAGTGCTTGTACGACGTCGGTTGGGCCGTATGGAACGGTTGAATCGCCAGTCTCGTATTTTCATGTGTTCCTGTGAATTGTGGTCCCAATCCCGTCGCCCAAAGCCCTGGGGGTGGAGAAGCCATCTGTCCCACTCCAATTCCGGTGAGTTGCGAGGTCATCAGAGGCGGCGGAGGCGCCAGGGGTACCTGATGTGGATACCATCCACCACCTAGTCCCCCCCCTCCCCAACCCAGTGCGAGTGGTTCCCCCTGTTGGCGGAGTCCCCCTTGGCTAGGTACGATCGCCATTATGGGGGGGGTTGGTGTCAACCCCCTCGATCTGATCATCACATTCATCCCTGCCTGGCTTCCGACCACTCCCCCTACTGACCCCCCTCCCCCCGCTGGTCCCCCTCCCCCCATACCCCCTAACGAGGGTAACATACCTCTCCCCTGAGGGAGGAGTGTTGTTGTTGCCAGTGAGGTGATAGGGGGGGACTGCGTAGTTACCGCTGCATGCAAAATTCTAGCCCCGGGAGGTGCACTTGTTCCTACTGCCAATGGTTGAGATGCTTGACTGGACCCTGGGCCTGACCTCGGGACCGGGAGTGGGGCGGTAAGAGCAGGGGTCGAAGATACAGGTTGACCCGCTCCCTTGTCCCCCCCTTGCCCCGCCTCTCCCTCCTCCTTCTCTCCCTCCTCTCCCTCCTCCTTCCCCTTCTGCCTGGGTTCTACCGGCTGTAGGGACTCTTGCACCTCTTCCTCTTCCTCCTCCTCCACCTCCTCCTCCTCTACCCCCCCTCCCTCTACCTCTACCCCGACCTCTTCCTACCCGGTCCTCTGGCATGGGTTCATTGAAACGCGGACACTCCGTATCAAATTCATCGTGAAACCACCACAGACACTTGTTGCAAAACGGCGTATCCTGGTTCACAAATTGTACTTCTAGGTATCCCCCCCTCGGCTTCCTGACCACTACCCACTCCATAAATGACTGGCGGACTTCCGGAACACAGTCTATCTGAATATTGCCCAATCTGGGCTCTTCGGGGCGTTTCTCTGGAGGGTGCATGACCAAGATTCGCCCCATGAAGTGCTCCACCGCAAATCGAAGTGAGGAGAGACCTTCGAGTGGGACTCTCAACACAATTATCCGAAACTTCCCTGCTCTGTCTGATTCTCTCATCTCGTCCAACTCCGTCTTGGTCATCCAAGGCTTAAATAAAACCTTGATTGTTCCGTTCTTGGATGGGATCCGCTCCTCCCCCTTCATAATCATCCATTCCGCTATTCTCTCCGACCTGGCCACGTATGACGTGACGTTGGGGCCTTCGCCATGCGTTCTCCCCCTCTTCTGTGTTGGATTCATCGTCTGATCTGTATACCATGCATCCTCGTACACCCCGATTAGTATCTCCCGCTGCTCCACACTGAGGTTAATAGCCGGCTCGTCGAAGATTACAATCACTGTCCTGGCCTTCAGCCAGTTCACTGTGGCGGTATCCACCTCATCGCTCAGCGTCAGGACCCCAACCCCATCGACAATCTCTGTCTCTCCAAAGTTTATAGTCGACTCTGGAAAGATACCATCGTCATAGCACATGTCTAGCAGTGTTCTAATTCTGTCACTATCACTCTCCTCCTGGGCATTCCCCAACGGGGGAATTGACTGCCCCCCTCTTGCTGCTACTATCCCAGCTGCCCCTGAAGGAGGGGGCACGCTCGGAGGTGGAACCACCGCTGAGGTATTGGCCGCCATTCGTACCGCCTGGCTTACCCGCGTTGACTTGATCTCTGCTCCTAGTCTCCCCGGTTAACCCCGACTCGTTGCTACTATCTTCTTTTGTTCCTATTACCATAACCCAATCCCGCATCAGTGACGTGTGCGCTATGCACGCCACGTCGGTTCCACATTCGTTGTTATCAGTACTCCGTCACACCATACAATCTCGGTCGTTGTCCCGCCTCCATTCCTCCCTCCTCCACGAGCAGGTTTGACCTGGCCATCGACAGGTAGGCTTCGGCAGAACCCCGTTGCCCAGCCGCGTGCCAGGTTTCGGAGTCAGCAACACCGGTTCTCCCGAACCGGTAGCGTTCGTCGGAGCGCTCCTGCGCCCGTCGCAACGCTCGTCCCCCTTGGCCCGTCGTTTCGGGCCGCGCGTCTGTCGTTTCGTTTGTGGCCGCCTGTCATCTAACGTGCATCGGTCGTTCCAGGTCAAGCGCGCGTCTGTTGTCCAGGACTGGCTTCTTCGTTTCCGGTCTTGTTTTTCAAATTTTCGTCCAAGGTTTTATGTTTTTTTTTTCCCTTTTTGGGCGGGGAAAAAAAAGGGAATGCGCCCCCCCCTGCCCCTACACCCCAACCCACCAACCCACCCACCGACTCACCAACCCACCAACCCACCCACCAACCCACCCACCCACCC